GTGTGTCTCTGGCTGATATCTACCTACTTAGATCCACAGCCTTAAACCTGGTGAGCTCATCGAACGTAGGTAGGTATTGGTGTAGGATAGCATACATAGGAATCGGGCCGCATGCACCTACAACCCGACCGTGCTGGGCTATAATTTATCATATTGCCAACGGGAACTTCCGATAATTTTGAACTGTGCCAGTTGTGTCTTCCGGGAAAACAGTTGAACTGCATTTATGACAAACTGATAACATTGAACTGGGGATCATAATGCCGAGAGATTTCATGATCACCAACGCGAATTCGGCATCGAACAGCCCATGATCGTGACAAAGGGAGCTCCGAGTCCCGGGCGGCTTTCGGTATGAAATGCAGCCGAAACATGTCTCAAAAGTCCGGCAGACTTACGCAAGGCGGCACTTTGGAACTTGGTCTGCACGACCGGATGTCCGTCTGAATTGTATCAGGTGCAGGAAAACAACAAGATTATACGCCCCCTTCCCCCAAATTGTAAATTTCAATGAATACGAAGGTGGTGAGAAGAACATTCTGTTCCGATTGTGTCGCACAAGCAGCACAAAAATGTGCAAATATATTAACACTACACCATTCCGGAGCCACAACAGTAACAGCGTCTTGTGATGAGATGACGTGCAACAAAACCCGAGTTATATTCAATGATTTGCGAGTTCAGGCGGCCCTCACACCCGGCACCTTCCTTCTCTAGTCTGATACTTAGATGCCTAGAGATTAATATTGGAGACTCGATTCATATGGCCCTTGCAAATAAAATGGCTTTATGTTAAGTCTTTTGCGAATTGTAAAGCTTTCGAGGTAAGCTTGAGGTTGAAAATAATAAATATTCAACCACAATTGAACCAAACATGGCGTCATATCACGTGCCGTGATCATGATGGCGTTACTACGCTCACCCGGCGTATTGCTCTGCTTCTGTCGCCAGAGGCTCACTCGCACGGGCCAGCGCTGTATACCACGAATCGTCAGAAAGCCATTCTCCACGCCCTCGGAGTCGGCTAATAACACAGCCGTCAGCCACGCTCACTTCCTCGCGGATGCAGGCGCGTCGACCACGTGGAAAGAGTCTCATGGAAACGCTCTGGACGATGGAGCAGATGCAGCCATCGACGATCTCGATGGCCTGGCAGAGGGACGAGGCGCGTCGGCCTAATCACCACGATAAGCGCACTCATGCTCAACGTTTCCAGGCAAACTCTCTCCCACCGCATCGCATCTGTTCAAGCTGATTCTCCCCTTGGGAATCTTGAAGTTGGATGAAGAAAAACGTCTTGTGTCGACGCAGACGGCGCCGAAACATGCGCCACCTACAATCCTATTGCTCCACCCCTCGCAGCCGCTGTCCCACGTCGGGCGGCTCATCCTGGCATCGTTGGCGCCAGCCACACCCTCGATATCCTTTCGCAGCACCAGTGGGGTCCCGGGCGGGCAGCAGCTCCAGTGGTCCGACTCGACAGACGTTGGCGACTTCACGCGCGACGCCGTGCGCGCCGCGCACTTCTCCATCTGCATCAGCTACACTCCTTCACCGGGCACCGTGGGCTCCGACGACGCCCCATCGGAGGTGTTGCTCGACGTTGAGGTGCCCACCGTCGCGGACCGCACGCGCTTCCTGCGGCGCCGGCTCACGCGCGCGGAAGCGCAGCTCGCGGAGATGGAGACGCTGAAGCGCGCGTGCGATCGCGATGCGCGTCAGGGGGCGCGGCGCATGGCGAGCGCGGGGTTCGGCCTGCTCGCCCTGTATTGGGGGACCGTCGCGCGGCTGACGTTCTGGGACTACGGCTGGTAGGTCTCTACGTCTCTTTCCTGCACGCGCCGCCAAACAATTGTTGAATAATCCAGGAACATCATGGAGCCTATCACGTATTTGTCCGGCCTCTCGACAGTCATGGGCGGATATCTATGGTTGGTCGAACTTGGCTTTCTGGCACCATTTACTCCAATAAACCTGTGTCATGATGCAGGTTCCTATACCAGGGCCGCGAAGTCTCGTATACTTCCGTTCTGGACCGCTCCGTATCCGCGCGCCGCGAGGCGCTGTACAAGGGCCGCGGGCTGGACATCGAGCGCTGGGCGGAGTTGCGCGCGGAGGCGGTGACGCTGCGGCGCGAAATTCGACGGATTGAGGCGGATTATGAGCCGTCGGGCGAGGAGAGCGCGCGGACCGAACGAGAAGAGAAGGTGAAGGCGAAGGAGGAGGCGGGAAAGGACAGCGAGGGTGAAGATGAGGAGAATGAATCGACGCGGCGGAATGCGAAGAAGGATGAGGGAGCATAGACGGTACTATAAGTCCCAATGGGTACCAAAAGTCCCACTGGGTCAAAAAATCTTTTTCTCTCTCAATTCTCAATATTTTCTCTCGGAGTTTTCCGGGATAGATTCATGTATTATATGCATGTCTAAGTATTTATTAGCACAAGAGGTTGAACTATCGCTTGTTACTTGCTATGGACCCAGCGGTAAATTACGGTGGTGTGAGGACGCATTTGATCGCTCCCCATTCGTTCATGTTACCAGTTTACTGTAAACGCGATTCAACTGTTTTCCTGGCACGGTTTGGATTTCTCAATGTACAGTAATGGCAGAGCACGAAAGCTATCGATGGAGCTGGGGGTGACCGCCTCAAACTAAACTCACAAATCGTCGAAATAACTCGGTTTTTGTTAGTGGCTTCTCAGCAACCAAGGTTCTCTTACACATCATCTCAACACAAGACGCTGCCATGTATCTGGAGTGGTGTAGTGGTAACGCAGTGCCAGTGTGCCTTTTGGCGATTGCCTAGGTATTCAAAGCGGCGACGTGTTTGTATATTTTTTTCTGTTACAACCTTCGTATTAATCACTAGGGTGTTTCATAATTAGATTCTTGGGTCCGATTTGTGCTCCAACTTTGGCGCCAACTTTGCATGAAGTTGGAAAGCAAAATCGGAACTGAAAGTTGGATGTCGAATCGGGCATAAGACCTCGACTTGACATCCATTGAATCACGGCAGAGAGGAAATCATCGGGTGCGATCCTGACCTGCCGCGACGAGATCCGCAGAGTCGAGGAGCGACCAGTGTACCGCGCGATCATCTCCGAGCCATATACCGAAGTCGCGAGAATGCAAGAAGGATCAGGTCAGTTTCAGTGAATAGAATCGCTAGCATCGAATGAGAATTGATCCCAGGCAAACGACGACTCAAGGGAGAAGGTGCTGAGCATCCAAGTATTCGTCAATTGACATTTCCGCTGCCTGTGCTTCCTGGCGAAGATACTAGCGTTCCGGCCTTTAGTCCGAAAAAAATGTGAATGAGCTTAGAATTTAAAGTAGGAGACGTGATTGATGGCCGATCACGGTGCCTGCTCCGAGATCACAAGGGCTCCGCACTCTTTTCAATTTTCAGGAGTCTCTGTCCGAGGGTGCTCGTTGTCCGACACGACCCGCAAAACCCACCCTTTCTCGTGGAGTTCTGAATTTCGAGGCGGGACAACGACCGAGGTGCGCCTTTGGCTCAGCTCTTTCCGCACCCATAGCGTACTGGGCTGCAGGCCATCGTTCTTTCCTCACATGTCAATTAAGATTTTTTATCTCGGGCAATATGCATCCCCGCTGGTCCGGGGCTCAGGCTTCCGGTCAGTGTTCTCATCTCCAGACAGTGGATATTCATCACTGCTGGTCCGGAGGGGAAGTCGCGAATGGCGTTGTCGACGAAATAGGGGCCTCAATGAGCGGGGCTTCCGGCCAGTGTTCTCATCTCCAGACAGTGGATATTCATCACTGCTGGTCCGGGGATTCCGGGCAATGAGGGGGGAAGTCGCGAATGACGTTGTGGTGAGTCGACGTCGTGATGCAGCATGTCATTCAATTCGTATGGCCTTGGGGACAGGGACACCGTACGAAAGTGACACTTTTGTAGACTGGTAATGGTGTAGTGGTTTAACATGGTGGTCATTGGTGGCTCGAATCCTGTTCCGATAATACTGAGCTGGGAGATTTATTGTGCTGCTCGTGCCACTACACAACTGCGAAGAGAATGGTATTTTTTCTTGCTACTCCGCAAGTCTACGGGACTTTTGAGTCATGTTTCGGCCCCCTTTGTCACTACGTTGGTTAACTGAGCTCTCTGCCAGCCCCAGTTCATGTTTGCCGTAAATGCAGTTCAACTGTTTTCCTGGAACACACGACTAACTTAAAAGCATTTCACTCCGGAATGGTGTAGTGGTTTAACATAGCGGTCATTGGTCGCTGCCCAGGGTTCGAATCCCTGTTCTGGTAATTTTGAGGGAAGAGAATCATATTTTTTCTTGTTACTACGACCTCCGTAATCATTGAAAGAGAGGTACAATCTTGCCTCCGAATTAAGACGGACATCCGGTCGTGCACGAAGTTCCAAAGTGCCACCTTGCGCAAGTCTGCCGGACTTTGAGTCATGTTTCGGCTCCGTTTTATGCCGAAAGCCGCCCGGGAGCTTCATTTGTCACTATCACGGTTGATGGTGTGTTAAGGCGTTGGTCTCTGCATTGTGATCCCATGCCGTTAATGCAGTTCAACTGTTTTACGACTAAGAGATTTTAGTCCGGAATGGTGTAGTGGTTTAACATAGCGGACGAAGGCCGCTGCCCAGGGTTCGAATCCCTGTTCTGGTAATATATCCTCGTAAGCCAGGAGATTTTTTTGTGCCGCTCATGCTACACAACTGCGAAGAGAATGATATTTTTTTCTTGTTACTACGACCTCCGCAATCATTGAAAGAGGTACAATCTTGTTGTTTTCCTCCGCTTGATACAATTCAGACTGACATCCGGTCGTGCACGAGGTTCCAAAGTGCCACCTTGCGCAAGTCTACTGGACTTTTGAGTCATGTCTCGGCTCCGTTTTTATGCCGAAAGCCGCGCGGGAGCTCACTATCACGGTTGATGTGTGTCAAGCTTGCAAGGCGTTGGTACGTGCAGATCAACTGTTTTCATGGAACACACGACTAAAACATATCAGTCCGGAATGGTGTAGTGGTTTAACATAGCGGTCATTGGGCTGTTGCCCAGGGTTCGAATCCCTGTTCCGGTATTATGATCCATGTCGGTGGGAATAATTTTTTCAATCAATGAACGAGGAACCGTCTTACTTAGTATTTATCCCATGTTGTTTTATCGATTTTTTTTACTGGATTAGAAAAGCCCTGGACCATCTGCGACTGTACGTACATTGTGCTTGTTCAATATAACTCGAGTTTTGTTACAGATCATCTCAACACAAGGCAGTGCACGTGTCTCGACTCTGGAATGGTGTAGTGCTTCTGGCAGCTTCGAATCCCTGTTCTGGTAATGAATTGGATCGATATCTGGGTCGTTTTTCCACGCTTCTGTGTAATTAGACTCGTGCTCGGACGATTAACAATTGTGATTCTAGGTGCCACAATGCTACAACATCTGTATACATTAATGGGATTTACACCTTGGGAAAGGAGAGGTACTTAGATCTTGTTTTCCTACAACTGATACAATTTAGACGGACATCCGGTTCAACTGTAACTGCATGCTGCACCTGGAGACGTGCCAAAGCGCAGCCACCTTGCGTGAGGTTGCCGGACTTTTAAAAGACTTACTGTAATGCCGCGGCAATTGAACCCTGGTGGGCGGGGTTGTTGAAGCTCAGGGAGGGACTCCCGTGGTGCGAGAATTTTGCATAGCGTGCCAAGTTTGGAGGAGGGGTCCTCGAACGGACGGGTACCGAGGCAAGATTGTTTATTGTTAATGTACTGTTCATGGGAAATACACCAATGTAGGAATGGGCTCTACGTCTACTGTCCCAAGAGTGAACCAGAAGAATTTCACGACATGCACAAAGCCACGACACTGAGCGCGGCCAGTGCGAGCGCCCACGAAGGAGCGTGGAGCGCGGCACTGCCCGGCTTTGACGGGGACGGCGATGCGGGAGGCTGGACAACGGACGAGGGCGACGGTCCAGTGGAAGTCGGCGGGGCACTCAAGGGCGCGGGGATTGCAGACGCGCCCGGGGACACCGATGACGCGCCTGGGGATGCCGATGATGGGGCAGGGGCCGCCGATGACGGAGCAGGGGTCGCCGACGCCAGCGCAACTTCGTAGTTGTTCTCCGCGCTGTCGCACGCGGCACTCGCTTGCGACCAAACCGGGTCTCCCGTCTCCGCCCACGCGAGGAAGCTCGTGTCGGAGATGTTCACGCCGGGGTGCATGACAATGTCTGACTGGTAAATCTGCAGCGCAGCGTTTACGGCGCTGTTCAGGTCCGGGCCGCACTCTTGGGAGTAGGTGCCGTATGCGGCGGTGACGGCGGGATCGGTCACGGTCGGTGAGGGCTGGGCTAAGGAGAATGTCTGGCTGGGTTGTGGGTATCAGTGTTGGGACTAGGTTGGGGTCGGCGTCGAAGCTCACTTGAGGTCGTCTCGGGGAGCAAGGCCAACTGCAGAGAGTCTCTGAGAGAGAGCTGGCCTGCAAAGAATAAAAGTAGCGAGGATGGATAGAAGAGTCATGGGGTGCCGCCGACAACGAACAAGATGGCATATAAGTAGGGCGTCGCGCTGCGTCGCGTTAGCATCGCGGAGCTGTGTTGCACTTGATTTTTGATGGAGATGGCTGGAAACAGAATGCTAACTTAATAGGAAATCCGGGGCGACACTGCCACTGACCGATGTATGTCATGAGTCATGTGCGGTCAAAACTTTCGCACTGGCCCAACACGCCTCGAGCAATGCTGAACAGGAAGATTACAGAATCCCGGATTTGCATCGGTCGACAGCGGAGAGCGCAAAGCACCGAGCTTGGACCACGTCGACGACCTGGGGCGGGAAGGTGGCTCTTTGCCCGAGGCAGTGCGTACACAATACTATATGCCATTTATACATGTGATAACGTTATTAGCATCTTGTTGCCCCAAGTTCGCGATGGAGACCCTGGCCCGCTCAACACTGTCACTTTTTGATCTTCTCCACGAGAACCTTGCACCGGACACTGTCGACCGCGAAGCCCTCCGACATTACTGAATATGTCAAATTGGAAAGCCCCACTCTCGCAGCGCTCATCCAGCCGCAAACAACAACTCCCACAGCTGCGGGGAAGGCGGCGACTGTTCCTTCGAGTGCATCTGTTGCCGATAGTCAAACGAAGATTGGGATGTACAAAATTAAGTAATTCTAAACATTTTTAGCTATTTTTGCCTCGCCACGCCTTCGGCGCCAGCGCCGGTGACACCAACTTTTCGTTTTTGGAACTTAATAGCAGGTGCTCTTCGTAGCATAGCACGGCACTAAAATCAAATCAGCCGTAGCTATAGCTGTGTCGAGCGGAACTGGAGCACCATAGCAGCCCGAAGATTCGGTCTAGTTGCTAACGCTAGCGAGTAGACAAGCAAACCGCCGCCCGCAGCGCCCAGGTCTCAGTGAGCTACGCACATAGACGGACCAGCGTCGCGACGAACTACAACTCAATCTCAAGTTGCGCGCCCTCAGGCTTCCAAATAAGATCAGTGCGCGTTCCTTCTCTAAACTCAGTCTTGACTCGCTAGCTGACATACGTTTTCTGCTCGTCTCGACACAGAATCTGGTCTTGGCAGGGGCTCCTCCGCTTTTCTCAGAGTGCCGAATGTTTTTGGTTAACCGGTAACTTGAAATTCCCGGTTGGACGGAACAAAAGGTCCCATGGCGGCCATCCTGATCTGAAACTGCACGAAATGATCTCTGTCGAGCGGCGAGTGGGTTGTCAAGTCAGTTGGCGTCTATGCAATCCTAGTGAACCCACAAAGTCAGCACGGTGCGTCGAGTCCGTGCTGAAGCGCCAAACGGCATGTTAACCCCGTATTCTCTGGCTGAGGTATATATATGAGCCTGTGTCTGGTTGTGCAATCCGTACACCTGGTTGTGTCCCCTCGCCTCCCTCTACTCGAACGCGCTGGTCGTGTTCAGATCGTTTATTTACATCCAACCTCTATCGTGAGTACAACTTGGCTCCACTGCGCACGCGACTTCAAGTTGACGCACCCACGCAGAACTATTGCCTCTATTTTTCGACTCTCGTTCGCGATGTCTAAAATCAGCAGACGCAGCTGCGCCCTCGCGGCCCTCCTCGTCTTGGCTCCTCACGTATTGGCTGCCCCAGCTGCCCCCCGCGACGGTCCAGCGCTGACCAACCAAACCGTTCAAGACTGGATGACCAGCGCTCTTGATGTTTTCCTAGCGGCCTGGAACGCGGAAACCTCGGCGTTTAATGTCAACGGCCCTTGGTCAACGGTTGACTTTGCTGGTGACGCCTCAAATAGTCTAACCGAGGACGAGATCAACAACAAAATCTTTTCAACTTGTGATACACAGAATTTCCGCCTCACTAACAAAGTTGTGGGCTTCAGCAATTTGTACGCGGATTTCGTGAGAGAAGTAACTATTTCACTTTCACCATGTGTCTTCCATCTGATGCGTTCGTACAGTTAGAGCAAAACATCCCAACACCTCGACCTAGCGAGAAAATGAACCAGACGGCGCAGCAAATGCTGACTGACTGTTATACGACAGTTCCAAACGCCAGAGAAGCTGCACTGCAAATATACAGCAAAATCGCGCCGGTACCTCCGACCAACGCATCGGACCCCAAGTTCTTGCAGTGGGCGGAAGTCGGCGATCCAGATTATTCGAACGCGCTCTCGAGTTGTGAGCAATCCACCATAGCCAATTCTGCCGCTACCTCCGAAAACTACGGCGATGACTCGGGATTGTATGTGGCTGCGGCAGCCAACATCGCACCTTTAGAACACGATGATGAACAGTGAGGAGGTTGTGTTTTCATTGCGAAAAGTCTAACAACTTGAGCGCGCAGGTTCACTGGAATTAACATGCCCATAGCTGCAGGCAGTTTCGTCCCCTACTACTCGATCCCGACGCTCAACGTCACTCTCACTGCGTGGCAAAACGGCGTCGGTCTCTCGCCCGTCTCGTTCTCGAGCTCGAACTCCCAGGGCTCCACGAGCTCCAGCACCAAGTTCGGCGGCGCACACCTCGGTATAACATATGAGGAGATCGGGGTGAGCGCTTCCGCGTCGCACTCGGAAGCGAAGAGCTCCTCCGAGGTCAACGCGCTTGGGTTCTCTTTGAGCTTCCAGGGCCTCGCGCTGTTGGAAATCGAGCAGGGAGTGTGGTTCGACGGCTACCGCGTCGCGCGCGCGGCGGAGAACCCAGACTCGAAGCACCTGAACGCAACAAAGGTCTTCAGCAACGCAACGTTCTTTGGCTCGCAGGACCAGCCTGGCCCGCTGTCCGTATACAACGCACAGGCGCTCGTCGGGTTCAAACCGTCATGGTCGATCCAGTTCGAAAACTTCAGCACTGCCGATAGCAGCTCCGCGACCCAGGCGTCGGCTGACCTGTCTATCTTTGGTCTCATCGACATTGGTGGATATGGGGGAAGCACCGATAACAAGACCACCTTCGATACCGCTGCCAGCACGCTCACGATTGAGGACGACTCAAACAACGCGTACATAATCGGCTTTGTTCAGTCTTCTTACTATACCTGGTCGTAAAGTTTATGTAGGTTTCAATATTAATTGATAGAGCCATCACATTCGATACGCTGGAAAAAGATGGGTCCCCGACGTGGGGCCGGTCGTCTTGCTATTCATTCACCAGCGCGTCCGACCTGCATGGATTACGGGAACCCTATCACGGCATGGGTGATGGGCGTGCCGCTGCGATCTCGTGCATCGTCCTCGAGGGAACGCTCTGGACGCAACATTAGCGTGGCCGGGACCCGCCAGCTTAATTTTCGATGGCATCAGGAAGGCACTGCTTGCCGACCAGTGATATCGTGATGCCATCAATGTGACCCGGCCCATTGTCCTTTAACCACCTCCAATGCCGCCTCATCCACCAAACCTATGATACTCTCAATCGTAAAGCCTCCTAGAGATGATTTTGTTGGGTAGAGCGAGGACAGGATACTTGTATGCGTCGAGTTGCTCCTGTAGCATTCTCTTCTCTGCCTGCAGGGATTTGAGTGATCCAGGAGATTTTGACTGCAGAAGTTCTGCTGATATCATTGCGA